AGAACTGTGAGAAATAAATGTTTGTTGTTTATAAGCCTCCCAGTCTATGCTATTTTTCTTATAGCAGCCTACACTGACCAAGACATTAATTCTGGACATCTTTCAGTCCAGGCAAAGATGACAATCTGATGTATTATCGTCAGGTGTTTCTATCTGGTAGATTTCCCATAACTTCTGTCTTTCAGTGCCATGCATCGCAGGGCCATAATGCTCCAGCAGCAGAACGAGTCTCCTCTTCCTTCACCAACTGGCATGTGGAGCTTCTCTCAGGTATGAGAGAAGACAAGAATGAGCAAGGGAGGTGCCATGGAAGGATGAGTTGCCTGCATGTGCACTTGAATGATATTTTCAGGATCTGCTACAATGTCTTGGGTTCACATTGGTTTTACTAAGGCACCTGGTATATTGCTATAGCTTCTTCCTGCTCACCAGGTTCAATCAGCATAAATTCCTAATGCGGGGAACTGGTGTGATACTCTGTGATGTATCAAGACAATCAATTTCCTGCAGATTAGATTATGACAAAACACAGGAGATGACACAGCTCTCAGTTAAGATAGTGAAAGCATACTACTGCTCTTGCCAGCTGAAAGCAAATTAAGGTTTCTAGACATAACTAGTTGGTTTAGAGAAAAAAACTTTATACTAAACAGTAACATATAGGGACTCTCAGTTGTATTGATTTGAGCAAGGAAAAATATCCCAGGTCGGGAAATAGCTGCAGTTGGAGTCATCACCAATGAAGTTTACAATAACTCACAAAGATTACCCAAAATTTTATCACTTTCTGGAAAAAAAGAAAATCTAACTGGCGAACTAAAGGGTGATGTGACACAAATCACAACCTCTTTCACTATCAAGTATATCACTGTGACACTAATACTTGTAAATCCCCATGGATGTGGTATTGCTTTGGCGTTACTCTTTTGGTTTGTGGGGTTATTTCCTGGGGCTTCTACATTGTTCTTTATACTATGATAATCTTCATCCAACAAATAAGGGAACCCATATGGGAATTCTTGGAGCTTTTTTTTAACTCTGTTCTAAGAGTTGGTCATATAATCACAGTGGGTCCATCACCCACCCATTAACGTCACTGAGAGAGAGAGAGATGGACTTGGATCTGACCTCTCATTTCTGACTTCCTTAAACCCTCACACTGACCAGTGAGACATACTGACATTTGGGTTTCCACTAACTGTCTTGGGCACTGTATTAGTCAGTGTTCTCTAAAGGGACAGAACTAATAGGGTAGATGGTTAGATTTATCTATGAAAGAGAGTGTGTTAAGGAGAATTGATTGACTCACACGATCTCAAGGTGAAGTTCCAGGTAGGCTGTCTATCAGCTGCGGAGCAAGGAAGCCAGTCTGAGTCCCAAACCTCAAAAGTAGGGAAGCCGACAGTGCAGCTTTCAATCTGTGGCTGAAGGCCCAGGAACCCCTGGCAAACAAATGGTGTAAGTCCAAGAGTCCAAAAGCTGAAGAACTTGAAGTCTGATATTTGAGGGCAGGAAGTGTCCAGCATGGGAGAAAGATGAAGGCTAGAAGACTCAGCAAGTCAGCTAGTTCTACCTTCTTCTGTCTGCTTTTTGTAGCCACATTGGCAGCCGATTAGATAGTGCCCACCCGCACTGTGGGTGGGTCTTCCTGAGGGTGGTCTTCCTCTCCCAGTCCACAGACTCAAATGTTAATCTCTTCTGGCAACACCTGTAAACACCCAGATACACCCAGAAACACTATTTTGCGTTCTTCAATCCAATCAAGTCAGCGCTTAATATTAACCATCACAGGGACCGAGCATTACCTTAGAGCTTGTATCAGGATGTCTAGATGTCTAGTTATTTTCTTTTCCCTTTTTGCAGGTGATTTCACCATGGTAATTGGAAACAGCATGGATGAAAATATATGAGGGATACTTATAGTAGTGTAGTAAGATTTTTCGTACGTGAAGCTGGAATCATCTTTATTTAAGATATGTCAGGCCTGTGATGTGTTCTGGACAAAAACAAACTATAATATTTGAAGAGATTTATTTTGAGCCAAACGTGAGTGATCATGGCCCATGAAACAGCTCTAGGAGATTCTGAGAACGTGTGCCCAAGTTGGTTGTGCTACAGCTCGAATTTTTTTACATTTTAAGGAGACTTAAGACATCAATCAATACATGTAATGGAGCACCTACATTGTCTGGGGTAAATACCCAAGGATCGTCATCTCATGCCAGGAAAATTTAGGACATGGGCACACACAGGAGCTTAGACGTGGAGGTTTAATAGGCAAAAGAAAGAGAAAGAAAGAGAAAGGCAAACTGCTCTTTCTGTAGTGAGAGAGAGAGGACTCCTGAGAGGAAAGACCAGTTGGTGGTGGATGCACTGGATTTTACAGTCAGCTTGAAGAGGTAGTGTCTGATTTACATAGGGCTCCCAGATTGGTTTAATCAGGAGTGAGATTTAAATAGCACGTGGGGAAAGCTGGTCACCCCACCCTAATCTTATTATGTAAATGGATTTTCCCCTTGGATGGAGCTATCTTGTCTGTTTCTTGCTGTGCACATGGCTGGCAGAGAAGGAAAGATGGGGCCGCCATTTTGAATATGATTGGCATAACTGCCAGCCTCTATGTCTGCAGCTCAATTTTACAGGTTGCTCTTTGTTAGAAAGGAAAATAATTAGGGGCTGCTTTACATTAAAAGAAAAACCTTATGGAGGACTTCTGTACCTTCATTATCTGTCTAGGTAACTTCTTCTTTTTCTGAGATGGAGTCTCACTCTGTCATCCAGGCTGGAGTGTAGTGGCATGATCTCAGCTCACTGCAACCTCCAACTCCCAGGTTCAAGCGATTCTCCTTCCTCAGCCCCCTGAGTAGCTGGGATTTCAGGTGTGCACCACCACGCCTGGCTAATTTTTGTATTTTTAGTAGAGATGGGGTTTCACCATGTTGGTCAGGCTGGTCTCGAACTCCTGACCTTGTGATCTGCCCACCTCAACCTTCCAAAGTGCTGGGATTACAGACATGAGCCACTGTGCCTTACCTATAACTTATTCTTAACTCCTATATCATTCCCTTCCTCTGGAGTGGTAACCCTAACTGCTGTTAGGGGATGTTGGATGATGACTCTTTCTGGCTACTTCCTGCTGAAAAGGAGTGTTGTGTGGGAACTACAGCTAGGGCTCCTCCCGGGGTTGATCTAGGGTCCTCAGAAGAAAGGCATGTCCATGAGTGGTTCTGTCTGCAGCATCATTTGGAGTTTGATTGCTATCAGTCATTCTGATGGGTTGTAACACTGGTTTGCCACCACCAGATGTTGCTGAAATGTTAATATAAAAGTAACATTCCTTTTAGGATAAGTGGCATTGGATTTGGGTGGCTAGAGTAACTTTAGTGTTAACCTTGGCTAAATCTTTCCTGCAATTATTAATCTCTTCATGATTTTCACATACCATCTAAGACATGCTTAAACTTTCTGACATGTCCTAAACATCCTTGTTTTTAAACAACCAACTATTCTTTTTAGCACAAGTATTTACCATCCTTATAATGCTTTCATGACTTCCATGAACCATAGTCTACACCACGCTTAAATATTCCGACTTGTTCTAAACATCCGTCTTTTAAACAACCAACTATTCTCTTTAGGATAAGTATTTACTATATGAGATCCTTTGTTATATAAAATCTTTCTCCTTTATAGCCTTCTTGGTATGGCCAGGGTGTGATATATTACCAAACCCAATAAGAAATTCTAGCAGTCTCAGTGACAGTGAATTTTTCATGCTTCCTTTTTGTGGGTTACTATTATCCCTGGTATAAGGATAATAAGCAAAATACTACAGCAATGGAAACTCTCTGTCCAGTATTTCAGTTAGAAGGTGCTACTGTGTATATCTGTACTACAAATAGGAGAGTGACTACAGCAATTTCTGCAAGGTGATGTAGTACATTATTTCCATCTAAAATTCCATTTGCCAAGATAGAGAGTTTCCCTTTAGGGGTCTATGAAGTTCCTTGGTTTTATTTTTCCAAAAGGACAAATCTCAGGGTAATGGGCACCCTACTCACTTTCATTACCTGGCAGAATTTGCAGGATGGTTGCCCAGAACTAGCATATTGATTCAGATTTTTAAATTAACCAACTCTTTTTGTTTTTTTCAAAGCTGCAAGAGATCACCACTTGAATCACAGGAATAAGCAAGGTTAGTCTAAAATGTAGGCAAAAAGCTTAAAAACAATTAATAAGACTGGGATTTAATGACAAATGTGTGATAAGCTTTGGAGCATAATTTCTCTCTCCAGTCCTCATTTTTGATAAAAACAAATTATGAATGAACTTTAGTGGTGGCCTGATTATTTCCATAAACTACAGGAAGAATAACTATTTCTACTTAGGCCTTTTGGATTGGCTTTGATGGAATGCTGTTCCACAAAGAATCTTAGATAAGACCTTTTAGAGCTGAGCCCAGCCATGGGTTTGTATCCTCAGATACCTGTGAGTTGGGTGATCCTCTCCTCTTAAGGTCACAAGATAAACTTGGAACTCCTGGACATGTTAGAAAGTGACATTCTTTACTGACTACAAGTCAGGAACCTTGTACAAGATCTGTATAGGCAAGGGTATCAGGCCAGTTCTCCCCATGGGGCTTTTATCAGTTCTGCAAGTTGAGATTGATTCCTTAAAGGGAAGTATACCCTTCCAGTAAAAGGCTTGATAAAATAACCAGTTTTTCCAATTATGTTCTGTTGCAAAAGAAAAATGGATTATTATTGCACTGATGCAAACAACTATATTGCCATAAGTTAAGAGTACTCACAGATAGTTTTCAAATTCTAGAGGAACCAGGCAGAGAGAAACAAATATACTCCAAATTTTGTTCACAGGAGTGTATCTTACCCAATTATTAAAGGCCATAAATAGTTCAAAATAAGCTTTCTTGACTCAGAAAAACAAAACAAGAATCAGCAATGTTCCAAGCAAAAGTCAAAAAGATTTCTTTACCTTTCTGAGTGCAGTCCATTTAGTTAACTCCTCTTGTTTTGCTTGATATTCATGAATATTTCAGTTCTTCATAAGTTCCATATTTTTTCCCTCTGTTCCAATGTTACAATCTTCAAAGCTATTAAAGACCTACATGTGAGAACACCTGTTAAAATCCTACAGCTTTATTATAAACCATCTTTTGAGAAGGAAAGAAGCAAGACAATTGTCTGTGAATGACAAAATTTGCAGGGTAGTTATAGTTAAAAACATGATTGACAAGGAAGTTTAGTTATCTCTGTGTTTTACAATAACTTTAATCTTAATTGTTATCAATAGCATATACTTAGACATTAGAAATTTATAAGTCTCATACAATTTTGGAACATATATTTAAAAATTTGCCAAAATATAACTTAAAGAATATTGGACATTATTTTGGCAATCTCATATAACTAAGCATGTCAAGTAATCCTATTTACATGTTCTCTACATGTTTCAGGGGCCCTCTGAACCATCCAGAAAGTCAGGCACCAGGAAAGACAATTTTGAAACTTGAAGGAAGTTTGATTTGGGGACTCCCGTTAAATGTTAGAGGTTTAAAACACTTTAATGTTATGAGATAGAATTCCAGATTGCTGTAAATTATTTATTTTGCCAAAATGATGACTCAAAAGGCAAAAATATTTCACTAGCCTTTACTGTTACATGAAAACCCTGTTCAAAGCCAAATTTTACCCTTGCATAAGTTTATTAATGATAGACCACCTTTTGATGAAACCTCATAGAAAATTCCATCTAATCTTAACCAATTTGATGATGAGGTGAAGTGTTTAAAAATCCTTTATAGACCCTTTAGCTAAAGGGCAGATTAGCTTCTTATGACAACCTTGCTGTGCTTTTATTTCAATGTTCAATTTTATGGAAAGACTGTGTAATTCCCTTTTGAATTCAGTTACTGTTTGCACATTTTTTCAAGATTAATTTTTACAATTTTTCTATTGCTTGCTTAAACCTCTAACTTGATCTTATCGAATTTAAGATAATCCCTCATCTCTAAGCAAAATTTACATTTCCTTGCTTTCTTATAATCTTTTACTAAAAAAACACATTTTATTGTATTTATACGTCTTGCAGGTAAAACTGTTTAGTGATCTCATGTACATGTTGCACTGTTAACTCTTAGCAACTTTCACTTTTGGTGAAAAACCTGTTTGGTAAGTGATTTTAATTATGTACCCGGTGTGGAGCCTAGGACCTAGATAGAAGTACTAAGGTCTGACTCTTCCCAGCTTCTAACTCTACATGTCCTAGGCCTTACCTGTTTGTAAAGCAGGCAGGATACAACCTTGAAAAATTTAGCAAACCTAGTATCTAAGTTGTATGATTTAGACCACCTATTTGCATTTTGAGGAAACTTGCATTATACCAATAATCCTTAAGACAATTTTTATTTCTTAAAGATTAAAGTCACATGAACTAAAAAATATTTGATTAAAGTGCTTATTTTTCTTTAAGCCAATAAATTAGAGCTGTTTTTAGAGACATTACACACAACACCATATATAGTGACACAGACAGTAGATTCAGCACTTTTAAGATTTTTCATTTATCAGTTTATTAATTGGATTACTGGCTTCAGGGTGGAGCCCTTGGAGGAACATGCCAGGAAAGCATGCATTTTTAGGGCCTAATAAGCAGACACAGGTAAAGGCAATGGGAGATCTCCAAAATTAAAGGAGTCATTTTATACTGGATCTTGGATCCCCAAAAGAAGGGAGATACTATGGCAGAAGACAGTGGAGTGCTTCTACTATGCATTTCATTGCAAGGCAACCCAAAGCTATTCAGCTTATTTTGTAATCAACCCATGCCCCATGGGAGTCTCATCTCTCAGTGGGGAGGGATTGTTACCATATCTTTCAGGTGACCAAGAGTATGATTCTCTGATTCAAATGGAAAAGAGTTAGGCATCCCTTTATAACTACTATTAGCCATCCCTTTAAGTATATTTCCTACCTAGTTATTACATACCAAAGTTATCTCATAATGTGAAATAATTTGATACCCCCCAAAACTCAAAATTGTCAGCTAACACAATGCAAAACATAAAAGAACCTTTGATTTTGAGAGGGAATTATCTGCTTTTAATTACTGGAGTTTTATAAGGAAAACAGAGGGTTTTCTTTTCCCAAAATGGGGCCTGTGGCCCTCTTCTCTTTTTCCCGAGGAGTCTCAGATTACCACGGGTTATCTTAGGGCACTCTCTTAAGAGTGGCAGGACAAAAAAAATGGAGAAAAATAATTCTGTCAACTAAAAAGAAAAAAATCTTTTTCCGGAAAAATAAGATCCAAGAAGAGAAAAGCATAAAGGCCTTTAAAAAATATACTCATAACTTGCATATCCACTTTTAGTTACACTAAACACTCTTTAGGAAAATCCTTTTTTAATCCTTTGATACTCAAAGTTAGCCATGCCAAGCAGTTAAGATTTTTGGCTTTTAAACATCACAAAAAGTAACTTCACCGGTGAAACCAACAACCCTTCATTAGGTTATGATTTAACCTCAAGTTTATGAGGTATTTTCAGAGGAGTGATAAGCAGCTTTTGAAACTCGTTGCAAAACCGTGACTGAGACAGTGAAAGAGATCAGACTCAACCAACTTCATCTTGTTTCCAGCCCCCAAGCTGTCCTTTCCCATCCCCAGGCATAGACCAGATCAACTTTGGGAGGAGCCTGGTTTAAGTTTGTATTAAAAAGCAAAGGAGATAACAGCCCCATCCTAAGACATACTTCCCTCTTCCCTGGGGATCAGTCCAAGAAACTAGTCACAAGATGAGAAACCATGGCTTGGGATTCATGTAGCTGGAGGCTACAAGATTTTAACCCTCTCTTAACTGCTCTCAAGATCAGTTCTTAAGATATTTTGTAAACTCTGCCTTTGATGGATTAGCTGGCCCCACTCAGATTGATAAACTGGCTTATTTGACTTTTGTGGTCCTCACCCAGGAACTGATTTAGCACAAAAAACAGCCACCATTTTAAAACGGCAGAGACTAAAACAATGGCTACAGGTCATATTCCCAAGGACATGAAACAAGGTGGAGGCCTGTAGCCAAGTCTGTTACTGACCATTTTGTTGGGCTGGTTTGAATAGCAGGCGTATGGGGTCCTGACTCTGCATCCTAACGTATAGTGCCCTTTCTTTTGACAGAACTATACAGAAAGTCACACAATGCACAGCAGATTGGCTACAGCTTAAGACCAACCTCACAAATCCTTTTTCGTTAATTAAAACTTAATAGAGAATTAGCTAAAACTTAATAGATCCTTGTTATCCCTTTTACCAGATTCCACAGGGAGAGAAGATGAAGGCCTGACTGGTAAGAAATTTTTACCATTTTGCCGGCATGTCAGGCTTCTGGGTTTCCTTCCCTCAACTCAACTCTAAGTCAAGCATTTTAAGGTTTGGAAAATTAACTTTTTCCAGGTTGGAAGAACCTTATAAAAGAAGACAGAAGCCATTTTAAACCATGAAGAGGGAAAAATACCATAGAAAAGTCTGGGTTCCAATTAGAGTTCTCAAGAGGTACTACTTTGCTTCCTATCGGCAATGGTATTTCCCCTATTTCTTCACCTTCTCTATTTTCTCTTTTCCCTTTTTGCCTATTATGGGAGTCATATTCGTCATCTCTGAAATTCTCTGCAGCCTGCGGAACTGCCTGTTTTTCATCGGCTGTTAGGGTTTAGCTTAGAAGCAGCATAACATCTCTTCATGAGAGGCCAAACACCTGTTTAAATTTTGGAAAGCTTCTATGTACCTATCAGGGTCATAAGAAAATAAGCCTAAGTCTCCCTTTATTTGCCTAAGATCCTGTAACGAGAAGGAAACTTGAGGGAGCCCCAAATAAGGGGGATCCTCTGATGGTTCCCCTGGAAGTTGCTTCTCTAATTTTGGAGAATCGTTCTCTTTAGGCTGCTGATATGACTACGAAAAGAGGTGGGTTGATTTTGTAATGCCTGCAAAGTTCTAGTAAGGAGGCTATGCCCTTGTGCCAAAGCAAATGAGCCATGTTTTCTTTAAAGTTTCAGGGTCAAAGGAGTCCTTATGCTTCAGAATTCCCCCCAGAGGGGTGCAAGCTGAAGATGATCTCTTACCCCTCTAGAAAGAGAAGTGGAAAAAAGTCATCCCTTTAGTCTCTTTCCTTTTGGTGCCATCCAGGGCAGAGGGGAAGACAGTGGGGGCATCCCCACTGCTGTTTTCCTTCCATAGTTCCTGGGTCCAGGCACCCTGTTGAACGTACCACCCGTGGTTGCAGGCATGACTCCCAGTCATGGTACCAGAGGAACTAAGCAATTGGGATTAGTCAAGCTCACCCATGTGACCCTAGTCCTCTGCCTGTAATTTCCCATTGACTTTCTGGACTTGTGTGACCTGTGTGGCTCCCTGAAAAATGGATCTCAAAAAAACTACATTAATAGTTGACAAGGTCCCTTTAATGGAGGGGGCATGCTAGATTGAACTGTATATCCTGCTATTATGGCTCGTGTTAAAGCATTTACCCTTAGATAATGGTTCTGTTTAACTTCCTGATATAGAATGCACTTATTTTATTAAGTACCATTCTAACTGAAGCCAGAATATGTACTCTAAAAGAATATTGGGATGAAGTAACCATTTTCCTGCTGATGTTACAATGTCAAGACTAAAATTTGTCTTCGGAGTGTATTTTACTCCTAATTGCTGAAGGCAGAATTTTCCCATTCAGAGAAGCAGCATGAAGCCTGGTTTCTAGCAGAGAGGTGCAAAAAGGGCAGAGAATTAGGAAGCTAGGTGTTTTGGTAATGGACCAACAATGTCCCTCATGGAGAGGATCGCTAGTCCACTAGGTGGCGCTGTTGACCTCAAAATGCAATGCGCTCTCCAGAGCAAGGGCAGAGTGACCTTGGCATGCCATATGCTCTTAGACCAAGGGCAGAGAGAGACCTGGAAATGCCTTGCGCTCTGCAGACCAAGGGCAGAGAGTGACATTCACTGTGTTGGGGGTTTGGGTACCCTCAGTTCCTAGAAAATCACCAAGATGCCTTCCCTTAATCTAGATCTCTGGTTACTACAACATTCTCTGATCTTGCCAAACAAGGTAACGT